CCTTTCCAAGCCCCTCTGGTGGCACAGAAGGGGAGGATGAGTCCTCCCTTCCAAGCCCCTCTGGTGGCACGGAAGGGGAGGGTGAGTCCTCCCTTCTAGAGTCCTCCCTTCCAAGCCCCTCTGGTGGCACAGAAGGGGTGGGTGAGTCCTCCCTTCCAAACCCGTCTCTAGTTTGCCATCTCTTCCCGAAACCCACCTTTCCTTGGGGCATCTCTCCTGGGTAGGGGAATTCTGGTGGGTTTGGTTGACCAATGAGTGGTTCATCCCTGGGGTTTTGCCAAAGATCTGTCTGTTCGGAAATGAAACGACTTCATCTTGTGAAAGTTCTACTAGTGACACTAAAAGAAATTTCGTTAATAAGTGGCTTGTTTAGTGGTTTGAAAAAAAAAAAAACATAGGCAAGAATCAAGTAGCAAAATAAAAATTCAGGGCTAGCTTCTACAATTTTTTAGAACTGGGATTCGTGAGCTTGTTTCTTTAGAAACCTTTGAACTTCCCTTCTGTGGTTATGTGGTTATCAGTAGTCAGTAGGAAAAATAAAAATATAAGTACTGTGTTTAGAATATGTGCTCTTTCATAAAAATATGTGTATGTGTATATAAACAAAGGTGTTAATTATTTAGCAAAATTGTGATTAGTTAAAAAAAGTATATATTCCAAAATAGAATATAATAGCTTAGAATAGAAGAAAACTGGAATGTAAAAATAATTTTATTCCCTTTCTTGAAGCTTATTTAATTTCCTATGACTAGTTTCTTAGAAACAGAAAGGCTGTTTGATCTTGGGAGTTGGGAAGCTCAGGGAGCCTTGTTAAAGACTCTGATGGTGGATTCCTGTGTGTCCCTCTTGTCATCTTCAGAAAGATTTCTTTGCTGCCGAGACATGTACTCAGCCCTCCAGTCAGAGGCCTGGTTGTAGGGCAGGTGGCCTTTCTTTCAGTGACCCTTCCCCTTCTAGGTGAGGAGAGAGCACTGGTGGCGTGCTTTTTCACTTACCTGGTGTGTGAGGTGGGGATTCTCAGCTCTAAGCCTTCACCAAATCTCTGCCCAGGTTCTGGTGACCGAGGCCCGTGAGAGGATCTTCACAGTGACACCATGTATCTGTGTTGGAATGAGTCCCAGGATGATGTTGTTTCCTGGGGTTGAATGAAAATTATGCTTTTTTTTTTCCTTCTATCTCACCCTTACCTTTTTCCTTCCTTACATGCCATCTTCTTTCTGCTGTCTCCTCCCCGTCTTTCTGCAGTCTTCCAGGATTCAGGGAGGTTCAGATTTTCCAAGTCCTGGCAATCTAGACGGTGCTTGATAAAGACCCTCCTATGCTGATGTCTGTGAACTGCATCTTTCTGGGTAGGACAATGGGCTTGGGTCCACTGGGAATTGTTTCTTATCTGTCCTTTCCTCTGTAGGTCTGAAGGACACGCCAACTCAGGAAGACTGGCTGGTGAGCGTACTTCCTGAAGGATCCAGGGTTGGTGTGGATCCGCTGATCATTCCTACAGGTGAGGTACTCAGTCCTTTCCAGCTTGGGTAAGGAGGTGGGTTCTGGGCTCCTCTCCCCTCTCCTTGTTTGCTTGTGGGATGTAGAACATTTGAGAGCTCAGCATGACTCTATGTCATGATAAAGGTCAAAGTGAGGAGAAAAGTACTGCGAAGGAGGCAGGGGAGCGCCCTGATGGTAGACGTCCTTCTGCATTTCCTCATCCTGCACACTTGGCATTGGTCCACGTCAGGATCTCCTTTCAGAAGTCTCCAGGTCCTCGAGGACTCAGCTGAAATGGGCATTCAGCTCATGGCTGAGCCATATGTGTTTCCTCAGATTACTGGAAGAAGATGGCCAAGGTCCTAAGAGGCGCCGGCCACCACCTCATTCCTGTCAAGGAGAACCTTGTGGACAAAATCTGGACAGACCGCCCTGAGCGCCCATGCAAGCCCCTCCTCACCCTGGGCCTGGATTACACAGGTCAGAACCACAGCTGTGCCCCAAAATGCCCCAGCCGTCACCCCCACCCCTCCATTGTCTCCTGCCTAGTCCTCTGAATCCAAGTTGAGCTTGAGCTGAGGGGAATATTTTGTCCCACTCTGGCACAGTGGGCATTTGAGGAAGGCAGGAGCTTTGTTTGTTTCCCCTGTTGCCACTTACTTTGGCTTAGTTTATTCTTGCATTGCTCTTCTGGGTGCTCTTTAGGTGCTGTTAAGATGGCTGAGTTGTTTTCCACTCATTTGCTGACTGCCATTCTCACGTGTCTGATATTAGAAACAGAGCCTAGAGGTTTCTAGGTTCCATTCCCTTACTTGTGCCAGCATTTGTAGGTTGGGCTTCCTACCCAACTCCCATCTTATACCTTCTGCTTTAGAGATTTGGGGTGCAGGTGGGTTTCTTTGGCCACTGTGGTAGTGATGGGTGAGGAGCAAGTTCTCTGAATCTTTGGGAGACAAGGACAGTGTGGATTTGTGAAACAGAGAAGGGTGCAGACCGAGAGGCGTAGGGGGTAGGGCTGCAGGGAGGGAGCCTTTCTATAGAATCAGAAAAGGCAAAGTGGATGGGGGATGTTTGGAATGTAGGCAGATTGCCCAGAGGGGTCCTGGGAAGAAAGCATTACACGTGGACTCTCAGCCAAGTTTTAAACAGCATTCCTGAGGTGATCTTCAAAGCAGTCTTTGGTCGTGGGGCAGCCCCCAGCTTGCTTTCGTGTGTGACACCATCACTAGCGGGTATCGCAGAGTGGGAGGATGGATCCAGTGAGTGGCCCACGGTCAGCTTTCCATCAGCATGGTTTGAATTTTTTTAGGTGGGGGTGGGAAGGTGGGGGGAGGGCAGAGACTGGATTCTGCTCCAAGCTGTAACTACAGCTGTGTAGTTACATAGTGCCTGGCAGACATCTGTGCCTAGATGCTTAATATCTATGTCTAGATGCTTAATAGACACTTGTTGGCTGAACAAATGAATTAATTTTGCTGGCGGAGCAATTAGGGCTTGCTGCCGTCAAGTGGCTTGACAGAGTCACACCTCTTGTGTAGGGCTTGAATCTAGGTCTCCTGCCTGCTCAAGCTCCAGATAAGATGTTGTGCTGGTTAACAATGTTTGGGATGATTTCTTTCACCTGGATCTCGTAGCTCCCCAGGACCAGGGCTGGAGTTTCAAGCATGTTTGTTTCTTGCAGGTATCTCCTGGAAGGAAAAGGTTGCAGACCTTCGGTTGAAAATGTCCGAGAGAAACGTCGTGTGGTTTGTGGTCACTGCCCTGGATGAGATTGCGTGTGAGTGCTCTGGTTTCACTGTTTGGGCGTGTTACTTGATCTCTCCTTTGGTTCTCTGAGAATCTGTGTGTTCATGCCTTTCATCTTTCTGAGTGGCCAGGGAATAAGCAAAAGACTATGTCATCAAATGGGTACAAGAGATGTCAATTATGAAAAAGGAAGAATTACAGGGTGCAGGGGAGGGGTATGTAGCCTTGCCTACGGGCAGTGTTACAGTAAGCTGATGTTAAGTCCATGAGTTATGTCCACCTCCAGCCTGTCTTTTCAAGGCTCTGGCACCTCTGAGGAGTGGCATTCTCCCTAAATGTTTCACTGTGTAGAAGTGGGATCATAGGAGATATTTTTTCTTTTTACTTTTCCTGTTGTTTCTGAAGGTCTTCACAATGAGAATGTTCTAGAAGCATTTCTGCCTTGGAAAACTGAAAGTTCCTCACCGAGCCCCCTGACATCTTTGCAGTTTTTCAATCTTCAGACCTTAAATAGCTCTCATGCAGTTGTTTAGTACCTTCTGTCATCTCCTTGGACAACTGGTTTTGTTTTTGTTTTTGGCATTATGAGTTAGAGGGTATGGGTGCGGTAAGGCTTTTGACCCATCTTGACATTTACCTGCCAGGAAGGTTGTACAGTGGTGTCTGAAAACAGCCATCTTATCACACCCTCGCCCACACCAAGTACTTTCATTTTAAACAAAGTGCTAGTATATAGGCAAAAAATGTTGCCTCATTGCTTTACTTTGAGAAGCCATTGTTTTAAACTACAGGCAGTACCTTTTCCACCAGCGTCTTGTTTAGCACTCTGATCGTCACTAGAGCAAGCATCAGGGAGCTGGAAGCCCTGGGACCAGAGCTGTGCCCTCTGCTAGTCCCCTTTAAGAAACCAAAAAACCAAACCCATTGCTGTTGAGTTGATTCCTACTCATAGTGACCCTATAGGACAGAGTAGAAGTGCCCCATAGGGTTTCCAGGAGGGAGCTGGCGGATTAAAACTGCAGACCTTTTGGTTAGCAGCCGAATGCTTAACTATTGTGCCACCCGGGCTCCCAGTTCCACCCCCTCCCCCCCTCCGCTGGGTTTTCAAATGTGCTGTGACCTCACCATACCCCGCTCACACTGGCTGCAGGTGGGTCCTCCACCCAGCGGCTCTGGTTTCACTCACAGGCTACAGCCCTGCTGACTCACTGCTTTTCTGTCTGCCTGACGGGAAGCTCCGCCTCCAGGGGGCTAATTGACCCTTAATGAGAGGGCCTCATTTGGCCTCCCTTGTGCGTGGGTCTCAGTTTTTCTACCCTAGGTCGTTTACCACAGAAGGGAGAAAAAAATGATTGCCTTCCCTTTATTTGGGAGCCCTAGAGGTTTTTCTACTGCAGGGCCAGTCCTGGCAGGCCACCACCAGGCAGGCCATTTCAACTCTTTGTTTGGAGGGCATTTCTCGTGTTTTCTAATTTATAACTCTTACATTCCCTTCTCGGGACGGTGACGTGGTGGCTTAAGAAAGAGCTCTAGTGCCATCATGTGGCAGACATGAGCAACTGCAGCTCAGAGGTGGAACTTGAAGCTAGGTTCCCGCATTTCTGAGATGCTGCCGAGTTCTTGGATGGCAGCTGGACTCCAAGCTGGTGCCCTTCTCTCCTCCTACAGGCTGCTCCTTAAAGTCTCAAGTCAGGCAGGTGACAGGGACTTTGGTTTTCTTTTTTTAGGGCTGTTCAATCTGCGAGGATCAGATGTGGAGCACAATCCGGTATTTTTCTCCTACGCAATCATAGGACTAGAGACAATCATGTGAGTATCCCACACGTGGAAGGTCCTTCCTCATGGCTTCTCGGAGCGCCATATACCCTTTCTAGTCAGGGCCCACCAGTCACTGCCTAATGTTTCGCTGATGTGCTTTTTTCTTGCCTTTTTCTCCCTTTTCCTTTTTTGTCTTCCTTACCGGTACTCCTTGCCCTTGAGTCAATTCTGGCTCATAGCAACCCTATAGGACAGAGTAGAACTGCCCCACAGGATTTCCAGGGAGCGGCTGGTGGATTTGAACTGCTGACCTTTTGGTTAGCAGCTGAGCTCTCAACCACTGCTCCACCAGGGCTCGTTTGTCTTCCTTAATAAGCGACATTTATTTATATCCTGCCGCTGTCAACCCCCAAAATGATTTGAAATCCTCTATGAAAGTGTCTGTTTTACTCTGAGATAAAAAGTAAGTGTGAGGACATCAGGACAAACCTAGACTGAGGTTAGTTACAAAATTCCTCTTCAAGGTCTTGTTCAGGCCACAGATTTGATCCCAAGCTTTCTAACAGCCAGTGCCAATGGGTAGATAGGCTCAGTTATACAATTCTGGATTCACAATACAATTCAGCCCAGTCATTTAGATGGTCAGAGGTCAGAAACTACCCAGGAAAACCCCCTGAACCGAGCCTGGCTGAATTGTCAGTTATCTTTCCAACACGTTGCTGTGGCCTTCCCACTGTTGCTCTTCTGTTTGGATGGCTTTCTTCATTCAGACATCACATCTATTGAGTGCCTACTGTGCACCAGGGGTCTCTAGTAGGTGCTGGGGGCACAGCGGTGGGTGAATAAGACAGCGTCCTGAGTTAGAGTTGGAGATATGAGAGTCTCCTTGGGGACTCAGGCACTAAGTGACACTGAATCATCAGTAAGGTAGGTTTGGGGGGGTCTTAAGAGGGCCTGACCTAGACTGGGGGGTGGGGTAGTCAGAGAAGACTGAGGATGAGTATGAGTGAGCCAGGTGAGGGGGCAGGACGGGGGAAAGGTGGGCCAAGCAGAGGGAACAGCCCTTTCAGAGTCTATGGCAGGAGAGCCAGTGTGTGTGGAGGAGCCAGACTCAGTGTGGTTGGAACCAGAGTGTGAGGCCAGAAGGTGAGCAGAGGCCACCTCATGAAGGGCCTTTTGAGCCAAGTTTGGGAGTCTGGACTTTGATCCTGAGGATAGTGGGGAGCCATTGAAGGAACTTTTGAGAGGGAACCCCGTGATCAGACTTGTCAATTATAAAGACTGTTATGGCTGTGAAAACAGGATGAGTGGGGACAGGACTAGAGGCAGGGACAAGTCAGGAGGCTGTCGCACTAATCCAGGGGAGAGTGGAGATGCCCGAGACTGGGTGCTGACTAGGCACACAGAAGGAGAAAGATGGACAGATTTGATGGGGATTTAGGCTGCAGGTCGAAAGATCCTAATGAAGGGGGGAGGGGGAGCATCAAGGAGGACAATGCCAGGTTCCTGGCTTGGGAGACTGGGTGGATGGGATGGTGACAGTGTGCACAGGGACAGGGAGCAGAGTTTGGGGAGCAGCATTTGGGGAAGGAATGGGGAGGGGGAAAAGCTGCTTGGCTTTGATTCCAGGAGATAGAGCCAGTGTGTATGTGCATGTCCATGCATGTCTGTGTCCTCACCCACTCACGTGTGTACCCTCCCTTTCCCACCACCCACTTTGGCCCCTCTGTAGGCTCTTCATTGACGGTGACCGCATAGATGTCCCCAGTGTGAAGGAGCACCTGCTTTTTGACTTGGGCCTGGAAGCTGAATACAGAATCCAGGTGGTTCCCTACAAGTCCATCCTGAGCGAGCTTCAGGCCCTGTGTGCTGACCTCTCCCCAAGGGAGAAGGTGTGGGTCAGCGACAAGGCCAGCTATGCCGTGAGCGAGGCCATCCCCAAGGTTGGTGGTCCCACCTCAGCCCCTCTAAAGCCTGCTGTGCTGCAGCTGCCTGCCCTACCTGCTCTGGCACTGGGCGGCTTTGTCTTTGAAGCAGTCATCTCCTTGGCTGATCCCTCTGCAACTGGAGTCATACTGAGGGTCTGACAATTTAGAGCTTTGAAGGACCTCATCCTGTGTTTCCCAGAGGGTGGCATGAGAGATGATTTTTGGTTGTTTAAATGTATACATTTTAACAGCATTTTGGCATATGCTATATTTTCTAGCCATGATGTTGTAAAAATTATTTTTTAAGGCCAAGTTGAGTTTAATAAGGCAAATTGATTTTAAGATGGTCAGAAGAAAAGTATTACATAAATAAGAGTACAGGGAGTAGGCACCTTCCTGCCATGAACTGTGAAGATGGTATGAGAGTACCTGAATTTGGAAAATACTTCTCTGCCCGCCCCCCCCCCCCACACATCTTATAGCTAGGAGACCTGAGGCCCCGGGAGGCTTGGTGAGTTGGGGATTTGTCGAAGGTCAAATGATAGTAATAGCTCCAGCCTTTACCAAGCCCCTGCTGGGCAGTGCTAAGCAGCTGACACCTGTCTTCTCATTTAATTAGGGCTTGGGACATAACTGGAATCCAGGTCACTTTAGATGTGACCTTTTCTGCTGTCCTATCCTGGGCGCCTGGGCCTCTGGCTGCTGTGTTGCCTGTGGCAAGCCCAGCAATGTCTTCTCCACTGAGCAGTGGGCCACCCAGGAAGAGGCCAGACGTGGCCTCAAGACTGGGCTTTCCATTACACCCCTGCCACTGTCACACTGTGTGACCTCTAACAAGCCACTCAGTTACTCAGAGCTTTACTTCCCCACCTAAATGGGGTTCACACCTGCCTTCCCGATTTTCTGAGGGGCAAGTTTGTGAGAGAGAGAATAAGAAGAGTGAAGAGAATGATGCCCTTTGGGAAGCGCTGTGCAAGCGCCAGGCAGCATTGAGTCCCCTTCCTTATATCACAGGGCTGGATTCAGACTTGTTCTCAAATTGGGAAGAGTCTTCTCCAGCCCTTTAAGATCAGACCACTAGCGGTAGCTGAGATGTGATTACTGAGCATGAAGCGGGAGAGGCCAGGAGACCTCCCTCATTGGGCCTTGTGCATCCCCCAGACAGCGGGAAAGAGCCTCCTTTGTGCAGCAAGAAAGGGATTATTTCTGTCAAGCTTTGGTCGGTTAGTGACCTCTGACCACCAACCATGGAGGCCTGGAAAAGCAATATCTTGCTGATGGCTGGCGACCAGTAGTCTCAAAGACCTCAGGGGGCAGGAGATAGAAGAGAAATACCTATTTGATGTGCTTTCTTTTTTTGGATGAACTCAAGCCCCCCGTCATGCTCAGGCTCATCAACTAAAAGGGCCAGGTGGTCTGGAGGGCCCGGGGGACAGCTGGGTGGGTCCCTAGGGGAAGCTCTTCAGATGAGTTGTCTTAAGTGTGTTGTGCTGGGTAAAGAGGTGGTTGCCTTGGTCTTGGGTGAGTGAAACCAGGCTTGACTTCCCATATTATTGCCCTCTGCCCCTAGGATCATCGCTGCTGTATGCCTTACACCCCCATCTGCATTGCTAAAGCTGTGAAGAACTCAGCCGAGTCAGAAGGCATGAGGCGAGCCCATGTGAGTAGAGCAGCCTGTGCAGAAGAAGGGATGTGTGGTTGGCAGAAGGCCCAGCTCCTTCACCAACTGTGGCGTTGCCTGGGACAAGGGCATGTGAAACTTCTTAGCCTCAGTCTCCTGGCTCTCCTGGCCTTCCAGAGTTAACGAGAAAATGAAATAAGATACTCAGTGGGCTAGATCTTTACAAAGTTTAAAGCACAACACAAAGAGATATCGATCATAGTGTAGATAATGACGATAATGATGATGAGGAAGCCTTTTAAAAGACCCAGATTGGGTTTCAAGGTCAAGGGTGGGTCTAGAAAGATCTGGGGCCCAGAGATGTCTTTGACAGTGACCTGTCTTTCCTGGCCCTTGTAGGGTTGGAGTTCCCTCCAGTCCTCTGGGACAGCTGCCTGTGCTCTGAGGCCAGGCCCCTTTCTATTTGCGCCTGAGCCATGGAATGGCAGAGGAGCCCTTTCCCTGAAGAGGCGAGCGCTGCCAACTGGCTTGCAGTCAGTGCTCACCTGTGAGGCCCCGGTTGCTCACGGTTTGGTTCTGTAGCTGCAGCCCTCTCTCTGTATCGCATTAGTCAGCCAGGACCCCACACGTTGGGCTCTGAATCTGGCCATCTGATTTCTAGTAATAACTTTTAAAAATGTCTCCATTGTTTGCACAGATTAAAGATGCCGTTGCTCTCTGTGAACTCTTTAACTGGCTGGAGAAAGAGGTTGGTTCTTAGTCTTTGTTAAACATGCAGACATAGCGTATTTACAAAGTATCTGTGTGTGATTCTAACAGTGATTTTCTCTGTGCTCTGTTGACCATGAGGTATAAGATGTTGATCTAATTTTAGTGCTCTTTTAATTGTTCTTTCTGGAATTTTCGTGTGTGTGTATGTTTTAAATTCTGCAACAGTGAATCCTTCTAAGGCTAGGAAATTACCTTGTAGCTAAGGGGAATTTCATCGTGTGAAAATGACCCTTATGATAATAATATGAACAAGCTGATAGTATTAGGAGAAAGTGATCTTTTTGTACATTTTGAACTTGAGTTTAAACCATAAAACTTTTTATATTAAATTGACACTTGGCCATTTGTTTCTTGCCCTTTCACTCCTTGTAGTTAGCAGGAGGGTGATTTCTTTGTGTTGTTATTAAACTCTGTCATGTTCCTTTAAAATATTTTATTATATAAAGAGAAAATATCACCCTTATTCCCACAAATGTGACTCTTTTTTCTCTGTATTTCCTTATTATTTATCTTTGTAAAGCATTTTTGCATGTCTCAGTATACAGCTATGATACTGTATTTTGTTGTATTCAGTTAGTATCATAGCATGAGCATTTTCTGTGTGGTGAGAAGCCTTAAAAAGGATTTCAGTGAAGATGGCTTCTGTTGGCTAGACTGACATACTTACCAATTTCTTTCATTTTGAAATGTTTAGGTTTTTAATTTTTTTGCTATTATCAATAACCCTGCAATAATATCTTTGCATTTATCTTTTCTATTTCTTTTGGATGATTATCTTAGGATGAGTTCCTAAGAGGGGATGCTTTTGAATTTTTGAACTGGGATATATTAAATTTGGGAGATTTAGGATGTCATAATACTGAGGCAAATAGTTGAGCGAAAAATTAAATGGATAGAAACCCTTCTCCTTAAGGTAGTTTTGGTGAAAGCCTTTGGAAGATCCCTCCCTGGTAAAGATGACAGACATAAACTGTGTCCTGTAGTGCGAACAGTGGGATACGAGAATTCAGGAAAAAGGAAGCCTTTGGCTTACGCCACGTATGAGACGCACGTGACTGTATCTCACCAGATGATTTACAAGCAACTTCCTTGTAGGTTCCCAAAGGTGGCGTGACGGAGATCTCAGCTGCTGAGAAAGCTGAGGAATTTCGCAGGTAAGGATGGTTTGGGGGACCCGTGGCCCTCCTGCTGATTCGCAGGGCGAGTTAAATGAGGCTGGGAGGGCCCTGAATTTTCGCACAGTAAAAAAAACCATTAAGCCGCCCTGTCTCTGTGTGTGGGTGGGTGGGGAGTGGGGCAGTCACATTCCGCAGTCATTGCCCCCTACCCCTAACCTGGGTCTTTCTGTTACAGGCAACAGGCTGACTTTGTGGACCTGAGCTTCCCAACAATTTCCAGTACGGGACCCAACGGCGCCATCATTCACTACGCGTAAGGCATGCGGAGGAGCACACTGCTTGGCTTTCCTGCCGCTTCTGAGACGAGCCTGAGCAGGGGAGAGACAGCGTTTTGCCAGAGGCCCCTGTGCCCACCTCCGCGTGTCTGTTGAGGCAGTACAATTAGGGGAAATTTGCCAGTCCCGATACTTGCTTTGAGGCGTATTTTCTCTCCTAATTTTCTCTCAATCCCCAGGTCTCTGCCATTTGAGGGTCTCCTCTTAGACTCAGATGCGGGTGTTGCCATTCTCCACGATGCCCCCCATGTAGTCAGATGAGTTCTGCATTCCTCTCTGAGGCTGCAGGAGCTGTATTCATAACCCCTGAACTTTGGCGATCAGACTTTTTGAGTGTTTTTGTTTCCTGACGGCAGCCTTCCTGATGCAGTAGTCCAAACATCTTGTGAGCTTCATCACCTTCATACCAAAAAAACTCTTTACCACTAGGCGGTGAGAAACTGATTCTCTCCTCCCCTGGGCTTGAAGCCTGGCATCCTAGTCTATGGGAACTTTGACCAGCTAGTCTCCAAGAGCCCATGGACCCAAACAGCTGAACCAGGAGACCAGAGAGGCACTGGTGTGTTTAGGCCTGATGGATCTGCCCGTGGAGATGAGAAGGAGTGTCATTAGGTTTGCCCATTGGACTCCAGCTTCACCCAGCTCTAATCATTTTGCTTTGAGCATTTTGAGCCCTACGCTTCCCCACCTGTGATGTGTGCCATCCATGAAACGGTACTTCTGTCTCTACGTGCTATATTTGAGCACAGATTTTTTCCCCCTTTTTAATAATTGTTTTTGAATTGTTAGTCTTGGAGCAGATTTTGAGGCTGTATGGGAGAGACAGTCAAGATGTGACAGAACAGTTATCTCACATGAAAATGTTAAGGAGACTTCGGTTTTTATTCTGCATTTAACTCAGATGAAGAATTTTCTGCCTGGATACTATCCTAGATTTTTGTATATAATGAAGGCATGAAGACAATTAAGTACTATACTCTTTTAAAGAATTATCTGTATGTGATCAAACTGAAAACAGCCACTCCAAAGGACAGATGAGAAGTGTAGTGGGGCAGTGAGTTTGTGTTGATGATGGTGAAATAGTTTGGAAAAGGTTGTTGAGAAAAAAGAAAAACAATTCAAACCAAGGGGGGAGAAATTTGCTTCTCCTTTGGAGTTTCTTCACTGCGGTCTCCTGGACGTCCGTTTAGAGGCGGGGTCCTAGAGAGCTGGGCCCTTGTCTTGGTGTCCCTTTTAGTCGCTCAGCTTGTGTGCCCGTTGGTGGCCTCATTGCTGAGGAGGGCGTGGCACCTGGAAATGAAGGAGGACCTTCCTTTAGCAGCAGCTGGAGGCTGGGAGTGCTGTCACCCTTTTTGGCATTTCCCAGCACAGTGATGTTGCCTGGAAAATGGTGTAGGGAAAGTGAATCACTTTTTAGGAATGCCTCCCTTTCATGTGAAAAATGACTCCAGCATAAGAGTATCATGATCCACTAAACCCGTTTATTTTTTATCCCATATTGGGACATTCACCCCTTGCCTGTCTGGTGGTCTGAGAAACAGGTTGGGAGATACCTGATGGGTCAGGACTGAGGGAGGGAGCAGGAGGCTGAAGCAGGGGGCCCCAGACCCCTGAGACCAGTGAGCGCCACTCTGACTTCAGGCTGCCCCCTTCCCAGTTCACAGGACTCCATCTTGGGCCTGTTGATTCTGTTGGTGCCTGTTTTAGTAGCTCCTCCCTTGAACGTGTTTTGTTCCAGACACAAACAGAGGGAGAGACAAAGAAATATGAGTTAGTCTCCCTTCCCTTGAGCTTTTTATCTGATAGAGGAGATAGGTTGACTGAGTCTTAGAATAGTAGAAAGGTAATATTAATTGGAATAATTCATTTATTGGGTAATGTATTAGATTATGATACAATTTCAGACTTATAAAAATGTCACAAGATAGTACAAGGACCTCTTGTACACCCTATTCCCAGAGTCACCGAATGTTTACATATGTGGAATAATTAATTTTTAATTAACTTTCGTAGGCCAGTCCCTGAGACGAATAGGACCTTGTCCCTGGATGAGGTGTATCTCATTGACTCGGGTGCTCAGTACAAGTAAGTGAACTGGGGCTGCCCTAGAACTTGACTCAGTCGTGTTGAGGCAGTTAAGTAGGTGGACAAGCCAAGCTCCAGCCAAGAACTTGCCACTGATGGACTGGTTCCTGTGGCTTGTCCTTTTTTTCACCCTCGTTGAAATAGCCTAGTTGTGTCTCTGTTCCCTCAAAAGACTGACTGATAGAAATGTTTAGTCCCTGGCAGGAAGTTGTTACATATTAAATAAACAATACAGCAAGCTTTGGGAACCATTGGAGAGATTCTGCCCCAGCCTATATACTGCCCATAACTGTACTTGTAACTCCCCTGGGGCCTTGTCAAGTGAGGGATAAATTTTGCATGAGTCAGTAAGTAAGAGTTTCTTCTGAATTTCTGAATTTCCTTCTTCATGTCTTGCTGCTTTCACAGTCATTCTCTAGAATAGTCTCTTAGGGAAGGACCTAAGTTCGAGCTGGTCTCCTTGAGTGGGACCTGTGAGAAGGGATAAGAACAGGTGTCTGCACTGAGAGCACAGGGATGCAGGACTGACAGGTGGCCCAGAGCAATACTTTGTAAGCGTCCATACCCTCTGCAGCTGGGAGCGTGGTTAATGGAGAACCTAATTAAGAAATGAGCTCAGGGTATTGGGATCACTTGGGTAATGGAATTCTGAATGTTAGCAGAATTCTGAAAGTTATCCTTTCCATGGTAGGGATATAGGTGAGGGTGTTCTAAGAGATGCACCTTAGTGTTTTCAAGATCTCTGTCCAGTAAGCCTCATGTCATCTGAACAGGAGGTATTGGATTTCAGCCCTCTTTTGCTAGAAACAGGCCCCTATTTACTTTGTCCTCCTCCCACTGGTTCATAACCCAGTGATGGTATCTCCCATGAAGCAGTCCTCACAATGGAGACCAAGAGTCTGTGTGTCAGCAGCTGGCCAAGTTCACGCCCACACACCAGGCCGTCCTTGTATTCCCACTGTCTCATTTTTAAGCAAAAGCTTATTTTGACTGAAAGCTAATCTGTCCTTTCTTTTGGGCAGGGATGGAACCACAGATGTGACCCGGACCATGCATTTTGGGACGCCTACAGCCTATGAGAAGGTAAGGTGGAAGCAAAACACTTGAGAGGCCCTCTCTGCTTAATTAAGATAATTGCTTTTATGAAAAGGGACTGTATAAATAAGCAAAAAATTATATGTGGGACAGTATAATAGCTCATTACTGTGGAGCCAGGCTTATCTGTTTTATGGGGTCCATTTAGTTAATTATTGAAGGGTAAGCCATTTGGAGAAATTTTAAAAGCATTCTGTTAAGGCCAAGGCAGCTCAGATTCAAGTTTAAACAGCTTTGGTCTTTCTCTTGAGTCAGGAAATCTCTTTGGAGGTGGGGGTAGGGTAACAGAATATATGCTTTACAAGCAGTGTCTAGATTTGGTTCTGAAAGGACCCCCCCACCGCCCTTTTTTTTCAAGTTCAGTGGCTTAACTCTCTAGGAACCCTCTGAAATGACAGACACTGTTCAGTTACTGTCTGACGTGGAAACAGGGAAACAGCTGTGAGGTAGAGAGATCTGTACAGGAGTTCAGAGACCTGGTCTCAGATCTTCTCTGCTACTTACAGGCTCCGTGACCTTGAATGAGCCGCTTACTGCCTGTAAAAATGAGGAAAAGACTATTCACCTATCCAGCTGGTTATGAAAGGCCCATGAACCCAGCGAGTTCCTGGCTAATAGTCACTGCTCAGTGAACATTGGCCAAGTCTCTGAGTAAATCTTTTTTCCAAGGGGAGCTCCTTCAGGAGGTTTCTCCAAGGAAGAAGGTCTCCTGAGATGCAGTGGAGCAAGGTTCATAGTCTTGGCCTCTTGCCTTGTCTGTTTGTGGGCACCAGCCCGTTAGAAGAGTTTGAACCTTGAGCCCAGGATACCCTTGGTGTGACCATGTGCTGTGAGAAGAGCCCCAGATCAGATTGAGGAGTGTCGGGTTTTAGTCCTGACTCTGCACCTTATTGGCAAACCACATAACCTTCTGAGTAGAAGTTTTCTCGTCAGGGCAGTGAGGGCAACCGTTAAGTATAGCTGGTGGTCGGGAGCATGGGCATCTACGCAAGATGGCCTGGCTCTGCGGTCAGCTCCTGCCACTTACGAACTGTGCGACCTGGGCAAGGTACTTAATTTTTCTGTAAAGTGAGGATAATAGTGCCTACGTGGTGAAGTGTGGGGTTAAATGTAACACAGTGCCCGACACAGAGGGATTGCTCAGTAAGTGTTAGCTGGTATCATCAGTACTTTTTATTGCTTTTCCAAGGCTTATATGACATAGAGTGTGTCAGAATGTTCATTACAGGGTAAGGTTCTGTGGGGTCATCGCTCTGACAGCTCTTTTACTAAATTTACTTTCAAGATTTTCCAGAAATCTTTTTTTTTTCAAGTTCAGTGGCTTAACTCTGTAGGAACCCTCTGAAATGACAGACACTGTTCAGTTACTGGTGTAACTGCTTTTTTTCCACCAGATTTTTTTCTTTTTTACCTCAGTTCTTTCTGTGGCATTGCTAAAACACTAAATAGGCAAGAACTAAGCTGAGAAAGCATCTACCCTCTTTCTGCAACCTGCCCTCTGGGCTTTCTTTGGCAGGAATGTTTCACGTATGTCCTCAAGGGTCACATAGCTGTGAGTGCAGCCGTTTTCCCAACTGGAACCAAAGGTAGGTGGTTCTTTCTGCCATATGGTGGCCCTCTCTCTTGTTCAGGAATCAAGCATGTCTCAGTTTGAGTGGAAGAACATGTCCTTTCCCTTACTGTAGCAGCCCCCGGCCTGCTTCAGGCCCTGGCCAGGCACGTGGACCTGCTGCATGGAGTGAGTCTCTCAGGCCGCTGACTGAGCTCAGAGGGCCTCCCAGGGAGCCAGGCTTAGGACTGGGCCACATGTCAGCTGTGTACCACTCTCCTGGCCACCTGTGGTGTTGGAGGAATCATGTGGGCATCTCCCAGGAGGGGGCAAACCAGGCCTGAAGGCCTCGGGGCCTCGTGGACAGTGGTGCAGCCTCGCGTCTGCCCTTCAGCGTTGGGCCAGTGCCTCCGTCCAGGTTCTTGTTGGGATTTATTTTACTGGCATCCAGACTTCAGACATATACCCCTCTGACCAAAGACTGATGGAAGGGACAGTGAACCGGGAGTTCACAAGACCTGGGCCCTGAGTCTGGTCAGATTGGGCACGCACTCATCTCTCTGTGCCTCAGTTTCCTCATCTGTCGTGCCTGTCTGCCTGCTTGCAGTCTGGTCAGAATTTCTTTGTAACTCTGAAATCTTAGGATCTCTGAGCTGGGAAGGGACCTTACATGCCATCTCATGCAGCCCATACCTGCTGCAGGCGTCCATCCCCTCACCACCATCCTGGATGAATGGTTCTCCAGCTTCAGACTGAACTCCAGCGTGGCTGGGGAGCAGTCCTCCTCAGGGGCTTTGCTTGTTAGAAAGTTCTGCCTTGCGCTGGGCTGAAACCTGAACCATTCATCCAGTAACTTTTACCCATTGGTTTCTGTTTTACCTTCTGGAATGAGACATAATCTAATCTCTAAAGTGCTTTGTAAATTGGAAAGTACTGTACAAATAGCATCAAGTGGTTCTTTTTCAGGCCACCTTCTTGACTCCTTTGCCCGCTCAGCCTTATGGGATTCTGGCCTGGATTACCTGCATGGAACAGGACATGGTGTTGGGTCTTTTCTGAATGTTCACGAGGGTCCTTGTGGCATCAGTTATAAAACGTTCTCTGATGAGCCTTTGGAGGCGGGCATGATTGTCACTGACGGTAGGTGACCCTCATGTAGACGTATGTGTGGATCCTCGGGCTTTTGTTGGAAGACTCTCTGTTCTTTCTTATTTTTAAATTAAAGCAATTTGAAAATAATTTCCCCTTCCTGTCACCTTGAATTAAACAAAAAGTTTTCTGACTATAAAAGTGATATCTGTTCATTTTAGAAAAAGTGGGACTATGGAATAGTATAAAGTAGAAAATGAAAATCATTTGTAATCCAATCACCCAGGGGAAACTTGACTTAATGTTTTGATATGTTTTTGGTCTTGGATATAAGTATGCATTTTTTTTTTTTTTTTATCATTGAGATTATCCTGGTCAGAAGGTCTCTATTGTGCTTTCTTAATATATTACCTTTCCCAGTCTTTGTGAATATATTTCAGTGGCTGCATCAGTGCCTTAGAGATGTGCACTGTCATTTGTTTAATGGGTACCTTGCTGTTGGACCTGTCGCCAGTGTTTAGTAACTGCTGGCCTTCGTTTTCTGTGCTTCATGTGCCTGTTAAAAGTGGCCACCCGGGAGGAGGCATCCGGTTTCTGGCACCTGGGTTGAGTGGGCCCTTCACCTGTGTCTTCTTCTCCTTCCTGGGTGGGGCTGTCATCCCAGGATTGAAAGCTCTTTGTGTAGGTCTCCATTGTGGGCTGCTCTCATTTGGCGTGTGCTTTGTTTTAGAGCCAGGCTATTACGAAGATGGGGCTTTTGGAATTCGCATTGAGAATGTTGTCCTGGTGGTTCCTGTGAAGACCAAGGTATATCTTTCTTTTATTTTGTTATTTTTTACTTCCTGTGTTACTCAATGGAGGAAGGTGAAGACTTTTGTCTTTGGAGCCGAAAGTGTCCTATTCTGGGGCCAAAATGGAGCCACAGAAGAGCAGAACCCTGATATTGGAGACTTCCCTGGATATTACTGTCCTCTCTTGCAAAGCCAGAAAGAAAATCCTTAATGGACTGGACCTCTTAACTTGAGTTCACAGAGACCCTGGCAGGCCTGTACTTGATGTGATTTGGAGCTCTGAGTTTGCCGAAGGCAGCTTGTTGTGAAGTCTCCCCTGCTCCTGGGGTGCTTGTTAAAGGGGCTGATTTCCAGGCCCCTCCCAGGCCCTGTATCAGAATCTCCAGGGCAGTGGCCTGGGAAGCTGTATTTTTAACACGCTCTCCAGGTGATTTTTATCAAGTAAATGTTGGGAAAGCCTGAGTTATACTGTGAGTCAGGCACCACATGCAATAAAAGTTGTTTCGCCCTCTTCCCCAACCAGTATTACCAAGAGGTCCCCGGGTTTTGGGCACTAGGCTTCACTTTAAAGACCTGCTCCTCTTCTGTTGGTGATTAAGGAAACAGAACAGTTGGAGGAAGCAGCTTCATAAGCCTGCAAGGAGGCTGACTACAGGGATCTGCTCTCTGCTTCTGAGCTGAAGTCGTGTTCTTAAAGAGGCCTCCCACCTCACTCCAAGACCCTGCATTCAGCGGAGACCCAGCATGCTCTTGTGTGTCCCTGGCCAATTCCACACCAAGTGGAGTGGAGAAACATGCTACCTGGTGGACCTGGCTGGGTCAAGGCAGACCACATGATTGACTATTGAAAAAAAAAATGATTTTGGGGATTTATACCCCAGCAGTCTTGAGAAGCAAAACCAAAGATGACGCCAACCCCAAACACTCACTTGCTCTACCCTTGCTTCCTTTGTATCATAGGTAGACATTAGCCTTGTGGGCCCACTGCTGTGAACTCCTCCACACCCTTCGTGTGGCTTTTCCTGATGACACAGGCTTCTGATTGTGCAACAGAGCAGCTCCTTGGAAGGTGGCACTAGCTATGTTCACTGTGCATCCCATGTGCTTATTAAAAATGATGACCAGCTAACTGACTCTTGGTTCCAAGTTACACCAAGTTCTGAGGAGTGGTCATATCTGGTGGGCATGGCATCATGGTAGTTTACTGAGGTAAAGAGTAAAAGTTCTGTTTTCTTTCCACAGTATAACTTCAATAACCGGGGAAGCCTGACCTTTGAACCTCTAACTTTGGTTCCGATACAGACCAAAATGATAGATGTGGATGCTCTTACAGACAAAGAGGTAATGGAGAAGGCTGGGGAGGGGCAGGGGGAAACAGAATTGTCAGGGGCAGGGGATAGCCATCCAATGTCCTCTACCCTATTCTCACTTTTTAATTAAGAGGTCTAGTCTAGGCCAACTGAGTCTGAAAATTCTAGGTCCCCTGAGGACCATAGTAGCGTTTCCTGGATTTATCGGGCCTTTGGGTAGAGCTAGTTGTGCTTCCTCCAGCCGTTGTGCGTACTGTAGGGTTTTGTGGGTAGGAGCAGTGTGGGATTGCTTTCCAGGAAGACAGGAGTCATAGCTGCACTGAGGCCGGTTTAGCATGCGTCTTCCCTACAAAAAGCCAGCTGGGTTGTGGGGCTTCTTGGCCACTGCACATAGCAGGTTGTTTTTGTGTGTTGCATGAAACATTAAGGAACGAGAAGGAAAATTTGTTATTGTACGTCGAGTTTTCACACAGATGAGTTGAGAGGTGGTACCAGCCCTTCTGTTGCTACTCTGAGCACTCTGGGGCTATGAAACCTTTCACAAAACCAGGAGCACAACAGTGCTCACTTATCAAGCTCAGAGGCTGGGTGCCAGTCCATTCAGGAGGTTTACAGGTCTTGAAACCCCTTCAGATCCTAGGGTGAGTCCCAAGGCTCACGAGGCCAGGTGAGGTAGCAGGTCTGGGGACTCTGGTTAAAGCTTGAGGGATCAGGAAGGTGATCAAGACCAGAGCAGAAACAAGGGTCAGAAACAGGGCAGGAATAGTGAGTACTGGACAGACAAAATGGTTCTCAAACCAGGAAGCCAGAAGGACACAAATTCTAGAGGGCAGAGCAAGGCAGGTGGTCGGAAGTCCTGGCAGAAAACAAATGACTCACAGGATACTCTCAGAAGCCAAGGGCAGGGCCAAACAGGGTGGGGTTACTCTAGGAATAAGACATTCTTGTTACCCTGAGGCAGCCACTGGCCTCACTCTAGGGGGCTTCATGTGTTTCTTGAGGCAGGAACGTCTCCTCATTGGGGTCCTCTTGGCCTCATGCTTGGCACTGAGGAAAGTGCCTCTGAGGACTGAGGAGTGGCAGGGATGCTTCCACTCCCCTCTGCAGGAGTCATGGCAGGGGATCCTCCCAGTTAGAGGCCTCTTCCCCCTTATCCAGCTCACTGATGGGTGATGGAGGCAGGCCATCTACTTCCTGTAGGCTTCTGTTTAGCTCTCCTCTGTGTTTATGCAACTCTGCTTGGCCATCTATGTGCTTGGTTCAGCTACACATTCCCACACACAGGACCCAGACGGGCCCTGCTGGTACGAGTTTATTCAGCTTTGTAGATGGATACAGGGCAGGAAACAGCATCTTAGCGGAACAGTGTCAAGTGTATCTCTCAATGCCCAGAGGCTCCAGCCCCCATAAATGATGGCTTAGGTGAAAGGGAAGGAGACCATATAAGTGGGCATGGGAGCCACTTTGCTTAGAAGCCCCCTTCCCCATAGGAACCAGTATCTCTTGTAATGGCCCTTGGGCACAGCTTCTGGAATCTTGGCAATGGAACCTCCAATTATAAGTCACTCTGCATTCAGGGAAGCCCCAGGGTATGGCTTCCTATCAAGTAGTTCTAGGTCATTCATAGCCTTTCTTGCCTACATGCAGTGTGTTAACCAGGAGGCATTTCTCCCATATGACATTTCGCTTTATCAGGTTTGCAGGGAAACAGTGCATGAGGAAGGTTAACAGAGGCCAGTTTTCCTTGAAGTAGGAGGAAAAGTTTTGTCAACCCTTGACTCACAGTTCACCCACATGATACTGGGCATAGACTAGCGGGATCTGTTTTTCCAATGGTTCATTACTATACCTTGTCTACCCAAATCACTGGGCGGTTCTTTTGTCCAATTAGTTTTTATACGGCCCATAATATGTTATCTTAGGAGTCATTAGCAAGTTTATGCCAAATAACAGTAGACGATAGTATTTAGCTCACTAAGCAGAGTACCCTCCCCCCAAAAAAACAAAAAAACAAACCAAACCCCTTGCTGTTGAGTTGATTCCGACTCAAAGCTACCCTATAGGACAGAGTAGAACTGTCCCATGGGGTTTCCAAGGAGCAGCTGGTGGCTTCGAACTGCCAACCTTTTGGTTAGCAGCCAAACGCTTAACCACTTGTGCCACCTGGGCTCTCTTTTAAACAGTCCCTTTCCCATGGACTACTTAATAAGTCTGGGGCTTCATTTTGTCTGAAGTCACAATCATACCCCTGGGCTTTTAAAGCACTTTCTCATTGCCCCTTACTGTCTCCCAGACTGTCTTTAGCAATTAGGGAGTTTCCATCATTTGTTGCCAGATGGCAGCAGAGGACTTTGGTCAGACAAGAACATGGGAAGCCTGCAGACATGTCAGAGCCCTTGGAATGTTGCTCAGCCAACCACAAGGGCTTTGGGAGTTTCTCTGTGACCCCAGGGCTGCTCCAGGCTACTGCCGTTGCCCTCAAACTCTTGAGCCGCGGTGGACAGCCGTTTGCCTTGTAGCTCCACTGGCCTTGTTGTGACACGTAGGTTTTTGCCTGCTTTTGACACCATCCCATCTCTCCCCCATCTCTGGGCAGGGGCTAGTAGACTCTCATTAGATTGAAGCCCTGGCTGGGTCAGAGCCAGTTGTCAATGCTGCCATCTGTCTGCCCTCAATCCCTTGCGGGCTTGACCCCTCAGCCAGGTCAGGGCCTGATCCAGACTGTTGGTGTTTTTGTAATGCCACTGCCTTCCCGGGTGGCATTTGGCTCATTTGCAACAGTCACACCGATGGTGGTATTCTTCTTTCCAGCCTCACTGCAGCTGGGTATCTCGTCAGGTCTGCTTTGTGGGCAACACGAGAGTAGGTTGTTATCCTCTTGGTAAAACTTGCTTCACTCCAGACTTCATCTCCTCCTTCCCACATCAAGGGGAGGATTTAACTCTTTTACTGCTGCACAGAGCTTTTGCCATCAGGTCATAGGAGGGTCATCCCCCACCCAGGCAGCAAGTCTAGTCAGCACCTCCTTCCTTATCCTTTTTATCTCCTGATGTGGTGACCACATTCAGTCGAGGGTCTGAAAGTCAAGCTTACACCCAGCACCAGTGTGTAGCACCACAGTCCTTGACCACCAGAGGTTTTGAGTTCAGCTAGACAACCACACTCACAAGCGCCACATGGGCTTGGCTGATCTTAGTTTTATTCCTCTTTGTCAGCAGATACAGGACAGGAAACTCAGTGTGTTGGCAGGACAGCTTCAGGTGTGTCTCTTAGCAAGAGTTTTCACCCCAGTCCAGGGATTTTCTTCAGGTGTCCCCCTCTCCCCTGGCCACCTTCCGAAGAGATGGCTCAGGTGTAAGGGAATGAGGCCACATGGGTGGGTGTAGGAGCTACTGGCGAAGAGATCCTCTGCCTAGTTGGAGCCGATTGTAACCAGACTCTCTTGTAATGGCCTCTGGGTATGGCTTCCAGGAGTCCTGTCAAAGGGAGCACCTGGTTACCCATTACTCCTCACTCAGGGAAAAGCCTAAAGCCATGGCTTGTCACCAGGTATTTATAGTTCCCGCACAGTGGTTCCCAGTCCACACGCAGTAGACTAGCCAGGGAGCATTTTCACCATAAGTGATGTGGCCTGTCATCCAGCTGACAGGCCTCTTTCTTAGGTCTCCAGGGAAATAGAACACAAGTAAGTCACTTGCCCATGAGGAGGGAGAAGGGGTTTTGTGCACCTTAGTCTCAACTTGTGGCCTCAGCTCTGGGGCCCCTTGCTGATGTCCGGGTAGCCTTTTGGTAAAGCCGTGAAGGTGAATACTGTCTGTCCTTCTTCCCCTGCAGTGTGACTGGCTCAACAATTACCACCTGACCTGCAGGGAAGTGATCGGGAAGGAACTGCAGAAGCAGGGCCGCCAGGAGGCTCTTATGTGGCTCATCAAAGAGACGCAACCCATCTCCAGACAGCATTAATACCTCCCTAGTTTTTGTCTTTGTAAGAAGCGCTGGGGAAAGGGAGAAAACGTGGCAGACCCTTGCCATCTTTCTCCTCTCCTCTCCTTTCTCCCTACCTCCCCTTTTTACTTTTAGACTCTGAAGAAGAACTGAAAACCTTCTTATCCTCTTTGATATTTTCTTGCAAACACTCAGTCTTATGATTTTTTTCGTTGTTGAGAACAAGCCAAGAATAAAATTGCTGCACCAGAAGGGGAGGCCCACAAAGCTGGGCACTCCGTCAGGGGGCGCCCGGAGCAGCCACAGGGAGCCCCCAGTGACATGGAATGGAGCGCTCTGTATCAGTCAGGCTCCAGGTGCTAGTTTATCACTCATGATCATCTTCATGCCCACGAGACTATTTATGATCGGTGAATAAACATGTCAGAACTCTGCCCTGTTCAGTTGTCTCTTTCCACATGCTGCTGTTCCCCCACCAGTCAGGCGAGCTGATCTCCGGGGCCGGGGCCTCTGGCAGATGTGTTCTAGGTGGAAGGCCCCCTCTGAGGAGAGATCCCTGGCCTCCCTACACTTTTTATGGCTTAACCGCAAACTTCTTTTTTTTTTCTTTAGGAAGTCTATCATTTTGGTGAGTATTTTTCTTATTATCTCAGTTTCTGATTTTAAAACTTATATGTCAAAAAAAAAAAAAAACATAAAAAACAATAATAAAACACAATGTTGAAAGTGACAGTCTTCCATAATCCAACCTACAGTAGATGCCGTAGGCATCTTCCTCATCACCACAGCTTTCATTGTTCCTGATTTGCATCCAAGTGGGCTTCTCTTGACTTGCATATGTGGGGTAAGCCCGAAGAGTGGGGATGTGGGGAGGCTAATGTCCCTGTGACCTGAGACCATGATGGTTGGGAATGGGAAAATAGACTTCCTCATCCTGTGGCTGGGATACCTGAACCATGTTCTACGTTGTCTTCCAGGGTTTCCCAGTGGGGTTGAGCTCCGGGTGCCCACCATGATATCTTGCTCAATGACACACCCTTTATTTGCTTTCTTCCCTTCTATGTCTCACTTCCTCCCCCACTTGCCTACTGGTGCTGCCTGGGTCCATCTCCCAATAAACTACACTCAGATCTTGGTCTTAGTGTCTGCTGCTTTTGGAACCCAACTTAAAGATACCTCTTAGATGTAACCACCGTTACCTGCTATATAATTTTTGCCAATTTCTCTCTTTGTGTTCAGTAACATATAGAATGAGTTTGTGTGTATGTATAAAGGAGTATACATGCATACATTGGCTCATTGTACATTTATGCAATTGGCTTTTTTAGCTTGATAATACAGCCAAGTTATTTTTCCATATTGGTACATATAGATCTATTTTAATGACTGTAAACTACTCCACTGTGTGGCTGCGTTCTTTTTTAAACTAGTCTCATTGAGACTTAAAGTCTCATTAAAACTTTAATTTGAATGGCCCAGAAAGAGGGATAAATATAAGCATACTTTGGCCATTCACCCAAGTGTGGTGGGCAATGTCCATTACTTTCTCCAACTTGGGGAGCAGAAAATGAAATGAACTAATCTATATTTACCATTCAGAACCAGGGTGGCAGCAAAGAAAATCTTGTGAGCCTAAATTGACAGTGCCTAACAACAATTTGGAGCCCTGGTGGCACAGTAGTTAAGAGCTCGGCTGCTAACCAAAAGGTTGGCAGTTCATAATCCACCAGCCACACCTTGGAAACCCTATGGGGCAGTTCTACTCTGTCCTATAGGGTTGCTAGGAGTCAGAATTGACGGCAGTGGATTTATTGTATTTTTTTTTAACAACAACTTAGCCAAGGTTCCACTACCTCCTTTTTTTCTCTGAAGGATCATTGAGTCCAACCTACTATGTGAGTGAAAGTAAGATACATGGTCAGTTCTCAGGTTGTATTTGTAACGAGGCCAGTAAAGCACAGAAGCAGTGCCTTACAACAGCAGCATGTATTTTGATCCACCACAGATCAATTTTTGAATGCCACTGGGCCAAATTTGCTCATACTTCTCATATGCTCCATAAGCTTGGGCTTAAAAGGAAAAGTTTCTCCTCAAATGACAGAACATATTAATCATGTTTTTCATTTGTCATCCCGCTAAAAGTCAGACAACGATCTCCATTAGGACTCATTCTCTGGATATCCTTCTCGCAGGAAATGGGAGCCATGAATTGCAGCTGATTCGGAGTTTAAACAGACTGTAACTCAAGTGTGACAGCCACTCCACTGTTTGTTCATCAGGCTGTTAAGCCTGTCACTTCCCAAGGAGGCTCAGAGCAAAGTTTGATTTAATTGGCTCATGCCTGAGAAGCAAATTTTCCAGGTGCATGATGCCCAGAGCTTCCTGCTTGGACCTGCATCGTCTTGACATTGTGTCCAAGAGACGTAAAGTAGGTGAGATGGCCGCATAAGGACTGAGGGCGAGAATAAAACTGTAATGTGCAAGAGCTCAGAGGGAAAATGGGGAGACAAAAGTGTGGATCAAAAGAATCACTCTTTTTCAGTTTAAAATAAATGATTAAAAAAGTTTTTTTGGGGGGGCGGGGGGTGGTGGACAGTATGCTAAATTTATAGAGAAACTCCAGGGAAGCTAATCTTGTTTCTTTGTCTTGCTCACTATATCCTGTCATGAGGCTTTATGTAGTAGGTAATGAGGGTACAAGAAAGGGTACAGATATAGGGGTCCTAGCCTGGAACACCCCAGGGATGGATTTCAGGGAAGCTGTGTACCGTCTGGTAACAACTCCACCACGACACTGGTGACAATGAGGGAGGCCTGCCCCCAGCATCCTGACTCCTGGCACTTCTCCAGCCGAGGGACGATTGATCATTTCTCATCAGATTAATCTGGATTAGGAGTGGGCAATTGTGAGAGGAATCAGTGTTGTACTCACAGCCGTGAGAGAGGTTTTGACCTTGGTGTTTCCCAACAGCTGGGGAATTTATACCAGCAATGACATGAAGACTCAACATGAGGCACTTCATGACACATTCAAGCAACAGCCCTAGCTGTGCCGGCTTCTACGAGGAGATGGGCATGAAGATGAGGGGAGGGTAATGGAGGGTCACACGGTCAGCTCTCTCAAGCCAGAATGCTGTGTGTTCTAATTATCTGAGTGGACTCTAAACACACACACACACACACACATTTAGAGTTGGAAGGGACTGTATGAGGAAACTGAAGTCCATTTGAAGGCCAGGACTGACTTTGTGTTATAATCCAATACTTCTTTATTTATTTTGTGGCTCAAATTATTCCAGCTGTGGCCATTGGGAGCTCTTTCAGCTGACACCTGTGTCCCTTTGATACCCTCGTCAATTTTTTTTTTTAAGCACTTATTTAGTTTCTGGCACTACAAGATGCTCATCTTGTATATTTCCTGCCCCAGTCCTAGAATCAGCCATTTCTCCAAGGGGCCCCAGTTCCTTTTATTGGAGAAAGCTATTAGAAACCACGATCTGGGCACTAGTGTGCTCATTGCCACTGAGACCTGGAGCTTCCTGCTTGAACCTGCTTGGTGTTATTCTGTCTAGGCCCTCTCAGCTGACAGAGCGAGGAAATGTATGTGTGTGTACTCATATACACACTTATACAGTATCTACAAATATATACATAACCATCTGTATCTAACCATATGTTAGTATTGATGTCTCCAACTCTAATCCATTGCCACACAGATCATTCTAGCTTCTTCCCCTTGCGTATCTATAAACTTCCACCGTCCACCATCCATTTATTTAATTGTTCAACGCTAGTATACATTATAGCAGTGTCAGAATTGTTAACCTGTACCGCCATGGGACACAACTTAGCAACTCGAGTACAGTGCTTCCATGCAATTCCCTTTGGTCTTTAGTTTTGCAGCCGCCATTTCCAGTCACTTGGGTCGGCACCTCTCTCCCCCACCCCCTTCAGTGAGGTTGCTTCACACGTTTGTAACACAGTTGTTTTGTCACATGCTGTGTTCTATCGTGGGAGTCCTCTGACCTCCTAAATACTTTTTCAAATTTTGCATACATTAAGGTTCACTCTTTGTGCTATAAAGTTAAATTGGATTTTGACAAGCTCATGGTGTTATGTATTCACAATGACAGTATTATACAGAATAGTTGAAAAAATGCCTTGTGCTTTTCCTATTCAAACCTCCCTCCCCTCCCCTAAGCCTCTGGAAACCACCGATCTTTTTACTCTCTCTATGGTTTTACCTTTTGCAGAGTGTCATATATTGGACTCATATAGTATGTAACCTTTTCAGACTGACTCCTTTCACTTAGTGCGCATCTAAGGTTCATACTCATCCACGTCTATTTGTGACTTGATAGCTCATTTCTTTTTATTACTGAATACTATTCTGTTGTATAGATGTACCACAGTTTGTTTATCCATTCACCTATTGAAGGACGTCTTAGTTGCTTCCTATATCTTTGCTTTTTTAAATCAAAAGGGAAAGTTTGTTTTTTTAGTAAGGAAAGTTTTATTTTTCCATTAGATAAGTAACATGTGAAAGGCTTTCGTGGTTAGGAATGTGCATTCCAACGCAGATGGCACCATGGACTAGCTGTGAGATTCTCTGAGCCTCAGTTTCTCCTTCTTTAAAGTGAGTTTAGTGAGAGATAGACTCTCCTCTTAGGGTAGTTGTGAGGACTGAACGAGAAACTCCTGTGGAGGGTCTCCCTGAATGCTAGCTTTGTATGTACGTCTGTATCTTCCAACCCAAAATGCTTTTTTAAAAAGTGGCAGCTTTCTTGAGATATAATTCACATACCTTATAGTTCTCCTATTTAAAGTGACACACTTTGGTGCTGGTGCTTTCTTGATCTCTCCAGAAGGTGTTAAAGGAGGTTTTCACACAAGATATCGTTACTTGAAGTTGCGTTCTCATTTCTGAGTAGCTAAAATGTGACACCAGCATACAACAAACCTCATGGTAGAAAACCGAGACTTTTTGGGTGGTGTGACCAGGGGCTGTAGTGAAGCCCCTTGGAGAATGAGTGAGCCTGGAATAGAAGGTGGTCTGATTCTCTCCACCATCCATACACTCTTTCCTTTTGCCTGGGGGTAGTGTGGTGCAGGGCACATGTTTCTGAACAATAAGAAGAATTTTGAAGAAAAGGATAAAGAGTCCAGGGAGATGCTTGGGGAATCACAAGGAGAGGAGCCTGGGCTTTCCCCAGCTACCAGTGTCGCCTGCCAAAGGTTAGGGGGGCAGGGGCAGACTATCCAATAAGCAAGGTAAGCACGGCGCTTATCTTACAGCTGCCTCTGAGGGCCTCTTGCGTGTTCTGCCAGCAGGTGGCGGTGTGGTTCTCCGGAGAGAGCAATGATCGTCAGCTGGCCAAGGAAGTGGGTTGAGTTACTCTGTGAGCTCTGGGGTAGATCTCAAGTTAAGTCCTGGGGAAGACTCTCACTAACTCTCTTACACTGATACGGAGGCTGGCATGTGGCTGCCACTCAGCTGTCCTTCCAGAGGTTGGAACCCAGCCCATGACTGTAGGCAGGAATACAGGTAAAGTTCATTTAACAAAGA